CCCTCTCTTCCTCCTCCCTCCCCCCTCCCCTCCGCTGCCCCGCCCTCCTGCTCCCCGTGTAGTACTTAATTGCTCCTCAAACACGACTCTAATGAAGCTGTCTTGAGCAAGGCGGGGCAAGGTGTGGCGCCCATTCTGAGGCGGGGAGCAACACGATGCTGCTGCTACGAGGACTTCCCCGAAACTTACTGCACCAACTAAAGGCATGTCCCTGTCCCTTGTGGCCGTCGTTGCGACGTGCGCAGGCTCGTCCTCAGTGCATCCTGGGCCCATCCTGGACCCATTCTGGACCCATCTTGTACCGATACTGGGCCCATCCTACAGATCCTGGACACACCCTGCGGGTCCATCCTGGACCCATACTGGACTCAGCCTGGGTGCATCCTGGACCTCATCTTTGGTGCATCCTGGGCGCACACTGAGCCTCTGTGACGGAGCAGTGCAGCGTGAGGGAGACGCCGGGGGAGCGCCTCGGTCGCCGCGGCGCCTCGGAGTCCTCTATGCCGAGCGATGCCGAGCAGGATCCTCTGGCCGGATGGGGTGGGGCTGGTCGAGCAGGGCGCGGTCCTGGCCTGGACACACGAGTGGCCGAGCAGTGCCCTTCCGGTACGGCGGCGCGTAGCCACCTGGCCAGATGGGACAGAGAGAAAGGAGGGGGGGGGGGGTCCATAATCTTCCTCCCTCTTTCTCCTACTCTGCTTCTCTCCCCCTCTTTCTCTGTCTTCTCCCTTTCTCTCTGCGTCTCCTCGAGTATGTTTGTATATTGACAATCAGCATCGTAAATTTCCAACAGCCCATTCATGCTCGTCGAAGAAAACCGGCACGCAGTTCCTTTAGAATTTCCGAGAATTTCGTAATTTTACAAGTGCTGTAAAATCTAAAAATATTTTTCACAGTGTTCTATCTCAGTGAGCTTCACCGCTGGCCATCGCCCAGTCACACGTGGCCGTCACGCATCCTCTGGCGCCATCGTGTCACCGCTCGGCCCGTCACGCGTCACGCCGTTACGGACGCGGCGCTTCCTACATCCCCGCGAGAGGCTTTCAGCCCACGTCGTCGTCGTCGACGTACAGTATAGTCGCTCAAGCGCCTCCCATATTCACAATGAGCCGAGACAGGTCGACGCACTGTGCAGTGCTGTACTTGACTGTTTCCTTGTACTCACTTCTCTCTCGCGACTATAGGGGAACTCCCTGCTGCTCCGCCTCGCCGCCGCGCCCCCTCCGCCGCCCTATTTGCGCACATACGCTGCTACAGTGCAAACCGTGATCAGTTTTTACTATGACAATTTTTTACATCCCTTTTTTGTAAACCCCAATTTGTGAACAATTTCTTGCCCTTAAAAGAATACATCAGTTTTTGACTGTCCCAAAAGCGGCCTGAAAGTTTTTACAGTGCATGCCTTTGCACTCCCCACGAAATGCGTCTCTGCCCCGCGCGCCTGTGGATCGGGTTACTATTCACGGGGCAGGAGGTACTTTACTCCGCAACAACCTGGTGGTGGTCCGGCCGTTCAGAGAGGGGCGGGCGAGGGGCGAGGAGACGCGGACGGTGTCTCTTGCAACGCCCGTTCACAAATCGAAGCGGTTTCGGTCCATCTGGTGCCGCGCGCCATAGAACTCATTGCAGGGACCGTACGGGAGGATCCCTTCTCTGTTGCTTCTGGGAACAAGCGCAGCTATGGACGGCGATGATATCTCTGTCGTGCCCCGCCGCCGCGCCACGCCACGCCACGCCGCGCTACCGTTGGCCCCCAGCCCGCAGCCCTTGCCTTGCATGCCCGCTCGCCACCACCTCTCCCCCTCCTCCTCTCCCTCCACCCCGTCCTAATAGAATATTCTCCTCACAAAAGATTATCCCACTACTGTTCCTGCTGCTGCTGCTGCTCCTTTTTACGACCTCGGAAGAATCATCATCACGTCTACCCGCTTGGTTTTGAGATAACAATAAAAAGAATTTTCCCGAATCGGGGAATTTTTATCACTTTACTTTTCTTTCTCTTCTTTTCTCCTGTCAAAGTCTGTTGCATATATAATTCGTTTAACCGTCTGCTATGCATCTATACCCGGTTTGGCAATTATTCCGTCCACGCGACCGTGTCACTTTTTTGCCCCGTCACTTTTTTACATTTCCGCAGCAACCGCGTCACGACTCTTCTGTCGAGAACGTCATCGAGGAGAACTCCTCCGATGGTCCAGTGCAGTCGCGGAGCGGGCCTTATCGCATTTAGTATTTTGTGAATGAAGGGGTATATGTTATTTTTCCCCTTTGCGTCGTGGCCGCGTGCGTCCTGTCTTGGTGGCGATCGACGCCCGCCCCGGCCAGCAGCAGGACCACTACTGTAGTTCGTCGGTACCTGGACACTCAATTTTCACTGCAGAGAGTCGCACCAGGCCCGAGGCCCGCTACAAAAACAACAAGTGTGCGAATATAGTGCAGGTTCGGCACTCCTCGGCCCGGCTATACATGTAGCGCGTCGCGTTACTCCGCAGGGCCGTCCATCCAATCTGCTTTAATTTGCTGACCCCGCGGCGCGTAGTAGTTCAAAGAGTAAGTTTACGCGCTGCATGATGCGCTGCTGTCGTCACACACTCACCATGCCGGGGCGCGCATATAGCCGGCCAAGCGGCGGCGTGGCCGCGCACTCAAATTGATTCGTTAGCCGGCCACTTATCGGCCAGCTGCAGGGCTCACACCTGGAAATAGCGGATGGGGTGGGGGGACGAGTAGGGGGGCGGCGCCAAAGGCTCGCGCACAGCTTCCTCCCTCTCCCTCTCGCTCACACACACTTTCCGCTCTCTCGCTCTCCTTCTCGTCGACCTGAATAAATAACGTTTTGTAAACGCCCGGGCCGGGCCCCGGAGCCCCGGGGCCTTAGGCTGCCCGAGGCTTCGAGCTGAAGCCCGCCCCGCCCGGGCCCCACCGGTGCGCACAGCGTAGCACAGCGTTGGAGAGTAAACAGCCAGCGTCGATATACAAAGTTCACCCTTCTTTTTCTTCTTCTACTTCTTCTTCCTGCTCCATCTTCCTCCCCGTGGCTCTTTATCATTCCCCTCTCTTTCACCACCCCTCCCCTCTTTCCTTCTCCCGTCCTTGCCCCGTCCATCTCTACACTCACCTTTCTCCGCCTGCTCCTGCCTCGTTGTGGTCGTCTTTCTTCCCCATATCAAGGGGAGAAAAGCTGAAGAAATGGGTGGGCTGGGGG